CCCCCCCAGCCCCTCTGCAGCACGCTGAGATGGCGCAGAGCAGCTCCGGGCTGGCAGGCTGACCCCCAGACACCCTGCCAGCCGGGGCGTCGCTGTCCTGGCTCAGTATGCTGCAGTTTTAGCACACGTGTAAACTCTGTGCCTGGGAGCAATAAACTCCGGTGTAAACTGAGCTGGAGTTTATTTAGTCATACTAATTGCATATATAGATGCGCCCTCCATGAGGAAATGTTTTTTGGCAGTCGCTGCTCAGGAGGGAGGGTGCAGATTGTAGGAAAAGGGGGGTAGTTTCACAACCCTGCAGATCCTAGAGAACTTTCATGGAATGGAAACCCATGGCCTGAAGACGCTGGGGCCAAGTACAACTTCCATCAGTGCCTGAGTCTCCAACCACTCATTGCTACCTGAGTGCCTGGATCCTGTCACCTGACCCTCCACTTCCCCTCTATAAGACCAGGGAGAGGAACGGGAAGTATCTGAGCAACAGGGCTCTTCTTGAACCTAGGCCACTCTGGTGACCTCTACTTGCTTTCTGACCTCTTGGTTTCCTGTCTTGGCTTGCTCACAGACTGTGCTCTCCTCTTGCTTCCCCTTTCTAAATTCAGCTATTACCATGATCCAGCAAGTTTGATCTTAGATTTCCTCAAGACCCAGCTGCCTATGTCCCAGCGCTGATACACAGATGCTTTGATTACTCTGTTTGAGAATTAAAGGGTTTGTTGGTGAAACCAGCTGTAGTGTGTGCAGGAAAGGTCTACCCAAGTGTGTTTGTGTGTATATAAAATTGGAACCACTGGGAGGTAATTTTAATAAGCCACTGAAACAAGTCCCCAAATGTGAATTATTTATTTCTATGGGTATGTGTGGTGTCTTTATAGATAGACAAAATACATGATTTTAAAAATTAATTACAGATTTAGTTTTTTGAGGTAATAACTTTGAATTTCTGGTTAATTATATCTTTAGTTCTTTATGCATTGTTCTAATTAGGGAGAATCTCTTGGTTCACGGTGATGGGATAGCAAACCATTCACCTCTTTCCAGTCAGCTTTTAGGGATCATGACTGAAAACTTGACATCTCTCATGTGTTAAAAGGAGTTGGTCATGTTAGTCCAATACTAAGTGAATATGTGCCTGTGTTGCAACCATCATCACCTGTATTGCCTTCCTCTAAGAGTGCAGATGAGAGGCAGAATATATTTGAATATGCTTGAAATACTGAACAATAATGCAGATATTTTTAAAATTTCCCTGTAGTCTCTTTCAAACTAACTAAAATCCTTATAGCAGGGAACACGACTCCTCACAAAGCTCTAGTGTAAGCCATAACAAATATCAAATTCACCCAAGGAACCTTGTCTGCCTATGTCCTTAGACCAACATGGCTACAACCTACACCCCTGCAGCCATAACAAATAGCATTTTAACCTCTGTTGCCTGCTTCTCACTATCCCTACTTTCTGTCTGCTTCCTTTTGTGTTGGAAGCTCGGTCCATCTTCCTTTTTAACGCTGCGTATTAGGGCTGTGCGAAATTTTGCGCGGCGTTTCGTTTCAAAGCTGTTTTGATGCGCTTCGAGCTCAAAACAGTGAAATTGAAATGAAACAAAAGCCTTTGAAACAGATTCAAAACGAAACAAAGGAACTTGAAATGTTTGAAAGTTTTGAAACGTTTCGAAGCCAGGCTTACTGGCTTCAGCCCTGGTCCCAGCCGGCAGCACCCGGCTCCTCTCATCTAGCAGGCAGACTGGGTGCATGTACCCTCGGGAGGACTTTGGCACAGCCCCTGCAGCCCTCCCGGCGGTGCTGGCGGGCCCCCGATCTGCTCCCGCCTGCCCCCAATATGATTCCGCATGCCCTGGATGCGGCTTCCTCACTACCCCCCTCCCCCCCGGCTGTTGCTGATGGTGGAAGTGGGTTCTTTGCATCCAAGGTGCACAGGATCAGGGCAGGGGCAGGTCCCTTCACAAACTGATTTGTCCCAGGCTCCGCACCCTCGACCTGAAGAGCATGAACTGATTTGCCCCAGGCCCTGCACCCTTGACCTGTCAAGACGTAAGTCGGATCGGAACGGTGCTGTTTTGCATAGCACTACTGCATATGCACTGACTACTGCACAGTGACACTGGTGGGGCTGTCACTGGGAATGCTGCTAGACAGGAAACATTCAGAAGAAACATATCAATGCTCAAAACTTAAAGATCAAAATTCAGCTTCACTTTGCTGCTGCCTGCAGGGGGGACAGGATGGAGCAAGAGACGAGGGCAAAACACAAGAGTAGATGTGAGACAGTAGGAAAGACCATATAAAATGTTTATAAAGAAATGTTCTAAGGAGCTTGATTCATCAGATGCCAGCTGGGGCCATTCATAAGGGTAAGAACACCCAGGAGCACAGGCAAAAAATCCTGTCTTGAAACAGAGCTCTGTTATAGGTATTATTTGGACAAGGGCTGGTTTGTCTTCCCGGCCTTTTTTTTTTCCTTTGAGAACAAATGCTAGGACCCTCATAGTTCTCCTCTTTTATTTTCCCCTTTTCACTTAAAACATAACCCCCCCCCGCCCACCCCCTGCTTTCTGAACAGGTATATTTTACACTGGGAAGTAAAAGAGATCAATAAATATAGAAAAAATATATTCCTCAAAAACAATTTGTTCACTTATGCTAGTAAGTAAAGTCTAGAAAAATACAATATACACTGCCTTTGCAACTCAGTTTTTGAACACACCTAGGCCCCATTTCAGCAAGGTATAGACCTATGCAGTGAGTGTTAAGTATGTCGGCATTGAGCTTTAAGCTCGTGAGTAGCCCCACTGGGGTTATTTGGACCACTCTTACTTAAGGTTGAGCTTGTGCTTCCATGTGCTTTGTCGGATTGAGGGCCTTTAACTGGACATCGGAGTGTAGGTGCCTTACGTTCCATCTCTTGCCTCCACTAATACACACAAACTGCCCTAAAGATTGCATGCAAACCTAAAAGGTTTGAAGGTGAAGGGCATCTTGGTAATTCTCACTTCTCAGGCTTTAAATTTCAGATATAAGCTTCCCATATATCTCAAAAATAACAGCAGAGGTGGCAATCTGTGACAGGTTTGGGGGTACCTATAAGATGTAACATTGTTGGATTAGCAAAGGAACACGCTGAATATCCTCATCTCACTAAAACCATAATTAAAGAAAGAATTTAAAACACCAAGATGGCCCTGGCAGCATCCCCAAGGTCAGCACAACCCCATAGGGCTCCTGTAAAGGAAAATTGTACCTCTCTAACCTACTAGAGTTGCCTGGGTGTGTCCACTACGTGGTGAATAATAAAATACTGGTGACACGATAGAATTTATATTGACTTCTGAAAAGTCATTGACAGAGTTATTCTCAAGAGGCTATTAAGGAAACTAATACTGTCATGGACTAGAAATTGGCTAATAAAAATAAAGAGTAGGAACAAATGGTTACTTTTCATCATGGCAAATGATTAACAGTTGGCTGCCCCAAGGACCTGTGCTAGGATTGGTTTATTTAATATACGTGTTAATGATCTGGAAAGGGAAGTGAACAGTGTGATGGGAAAATCTGTAGAGAATACAAAATTAGGTTAGCAAAGACTAGAAAGGATTATGATGGACTTCACCGGGTCCTAACAAAAGTAGGTGAATTGGCAACATAAGAGCACATGAAAAGCGCAGTGGAAGGGATCGCTAGACCTACTCATATTGCTGGGTTCTTAATTAATTGTAAGCAGCCAGGGAAAAGACCAGAGGGTCACCAAACAGCTCAGTGAAAACTTCCGCGTAGGATGCAACAGTAGTCAGAAAGCAAACAAAATGTTAGCCTGTATGTTGAAAGGCAGAGGGAATATTTCCCAAAACATTGTATTGCTCTGATACCATTCCATGGTACGTGCTCCCCTGGAATGCTTAGTTTAGTTCTGCTCACACACTTTTGCAAAAATACAGCAAAAACAGGAGGGGTGAGAGAAGGACAATATAAACAATCAGAAGTGTGGGAAAAATCCCCATGTGGGGATAGATTGGAAAGACTAGAACTGTTTAGTTGACTGGGGAGATTGGATGGTAAATCAGATGTCCCATTCAACCTTTCACATAGTCTAGGAGCAAGGGGACAGTCGATGAAATTGAAAGGCAACAGAATTAAACCCAATAAAGGCAACTGATAACTAAAGCATAGAAATTACTGCTACAGGCGTCTCAGAGCTGAAAAGCTTAGTAGGATTTAAAAAAGAATCAGAATCAGGCATTAATATTGATAACAAGGAGCTCCACTGTTATGTTAAACTAGATAATTTTTATAGGACTATAAACCTACATTCTGCAGGGCCTAGGCCAACTACTATGTATTGCGGTAAGAGAGAAACTTCCCTCAGAGGCAGGCTATAAAAAATTTGATGCTGTGGTTTTCTGTACCTTCTAATGAAGCATCTCTCTTGCATTTTCTGATGTACCAAATGGTGGTCAGAGAGATGCGCTAACCTGGTGTAGTAGCTCTAAATAATTAGTCATCAAATGTGGGTAATAATAAACACATTAAAATTAACCAGACATACTTTTCACTGCATTTCAAGGCCACATTAATACTAATATTATTTCCAAGTCAAGCCTCTCCCTTTCTGGAAAGCTGGGCTGCTGCACACACAAGTGAGATGGTATTTGGTAATAACCAAAATTTCAGTGTTGTACCTACATCAACTGCCTCCCCCACTCCATGTCTACTCATCTTCCCCACAAACAGGACAGAAGCACTGAACAAAGCTCCAAAGCCCACACTGCCTCATGGCACTCAGTGGGAAAAGGAAGGGAGGTAGAGGAACAAATGGATGGAAGGGGTACAATTTGTGGGGAAAGGGTTTGGATCTTTTTCATTTGCTTCTTACCGTATTACCTGGGCAGCATGACAATTAATTTTTCATGAATGGCACTCTTTGTTTGCAATTTCCACAATTAAAACCCAACAGAAAGGACTGTAGCTGTTTAAATCACATACCGATTCCATTCACAACAGGCGAATCGTTATTAACTTCCAACACGCCCGGCAAATCGTGTTCTCCTTCGTGGTCATTTAAATCCAAGTTTTGCTGTTGTGAGCCATTCCCAAAATGTCTAGAGTCCTTCTCGTGACCAGCATCTCCATTCTGCAGGCCACTATGAGGCTTTTTCAATGGCATGATCTGTAAACCACTGGGGGTAGTTCGGTAAGTCACAGTTTTAGCAGCCCTGTCGCCAGCCGATGCTGGCTTTGCTGTATAACCTCTTTTCTGTTTTTGAAGAGATGGGTTAATCCTCTTTCTTTTATGTGCTGAGCCTTTAGACTTCCCAGATTCAGAAGGTCTGTGCGGTATTTTCTCAACAGATGATCCTCGGCTTTCTCGTAAAAATTTTGGTGTGCTGGCCTGTTTCCCATGTTTTGATCGCTTTTCCCTAGTCACGTGCAGTCCATTGAACTCATCAATAAATTCCTCGCAATGCAATAGGTGATGCTCAGGTTCCCAGGTGTCTTCATTGCTTCCATAGCCTTTCCACCTGATAAGATATTCCCATTTGCCCTTTTTGTTTTTCCTTTTGTCTACGATTCTCTCCACCTGGCAGAAGAAGGGAAAAGATCATGAGTTGTCTGAAAGGAAAATAATTCAAGTTCTAAAAGAAAAAATAAATATTTCAAAGCCTGATCCTCATTTTCACCCCAGACAATTTATGTAAAGGGGTTGGAGTGAAGATGAGGGTCAGGGACCTCATGCATGTTGCTTTACGTATTAAATGAAATTGCACTGAACATGGAATATCCTTTGAGCAAGTTACCCTAAAAACTTGCAAAAATCGGATGGAAAAAAGAAATCTTCATTTTGGCACCCACCTACTCCCACATCAGATGTCAGCAGACCATGGCTGATTGTTGATGTGGATCTAGCTGGTTTCTGCATATGCTACCCGATACTCCTTTTATGCACCACTGTTACATACGTCCATTAGTCAGACAGAGCTGTTGGTATATCAGAAGGATGTAGCAGTCCCATTTGGTGTCTTAATAGCAAGGTCGTTTCCAGGTACTCACCCATTTTTCCTTTTGGAGAAATCTTCATTGTAATAACATACAATAGTGTTTTCTAAGCATGGCCATATCTAATGCTGGAAACTGCGACAGCCTTCCTCTAAGCCGATACGAGGCTGAGGAGCAGTAAAGAACGTATGCTGTCACTGAAACACATGTCTGAAGTGAGACCCCCGCCAGCCCTCTTCATATGAAAGAGAGAAATATGGTGTCTTTTCCTGTACTTCCTATTTACTGAGCACTCAGGTCTGCAGACACGGTCTGCTGTCTGTTGCTTTACCTGTTTTACCTTTTCTATTTCATCTCTGAAAGAAGATGACCAATCAGAACAAAATGTGTGGTAACCCTACAAACTGAGGGGTAGTGTTCAATTTTGCGTGTGCCCTTTTGTGTGCGCCATCTTGCACAAACTAGAGTTTTCTAGGAGGGGCTACATTTGCTTGTATATGCTGGTATTTTGCACCCACAGAAGTGGATGTGAACTTACCCCGCTCACTTTTTACTGATCTGTCCTGCAGTGCATAGGCTGACGCTAACAAAGTGATTTGCATTTGACACCAAACTTAATTTGCGCTTGCAGACGTTTGCAGTTGGGAGCAATACTATTAACTAACGATGATAAAGGCAGCTAGTGTGATAATTTGTATTGGTCTCTTGAAGTGAAAAGCCTGTCACAAACTGGGACACTTGCCTTCTCACACACAAAAAATCTTAAATATCTGCTTGACAGTTGTCCCAAATTTCTGTTCTGAAATATTTACTATTAATTCCTTAACAGACCCCGTTAAAATTTCTAAGTGAAGTCTTATTCTACATGCAAATACAGAACTGTTTGCACAATTACTTTTTTGGCATGCATAAAATTGATGCACTTATTGTATCAGCTGCAGGAATGATGAAACATTGGTGACCAGCATGCTTGTCATTCTTGGCCACAGACGAGGTCCTCCTTGAAGTTTATGCCAAACTGACCATATTCATAATGAATAATAACTGATAATATAATCAGCTTGCTGCTCCTACCTGGCTCCTTCAGTGATGTTTTAGTTTAAAATTTTAGACATCACATTTACTTATGTAATTGGGTCTATGAAACCACTGAAGGCACTGAGCAGCATGAAGAAGATGGGGTGTAAAAAAAGGGATGCTTCTATTAACACATGATTTTAATGAGCAATTATGGGAAAAAGGATATGGATTTAAGAGTAGGACTTTTCAAGGAATTAAAATCCTTGTGTCAGATACAGAAGTTCATGTAGGCTCCTACCTTCTATTTCGGTGCCTAAAATTGATGGGCATTTAGATGCCTGAATATCTTTTTGGATCTGGGTCCATTTGCTTATCTTTAGATTTGAAGCTATGAAAATGTAATCTGTTTTAATTAATTGTAATTACGATTAGCATCCTAGGATCCTGAAGAAATTCACTTGAAAAACAGAAATAAGTACCTGAGAGTTAACCAAATTACAATTTCAATGCAGTGCTTGTAATCAAAAATTAAGGACCGCTTTTATAAAATTGAATAAAACATAGTGGGTGTCCAGTGCTTCTGTGGATTAGTTATGAATCAAAGTTCACATACTTCTATTTGTTCCCAGACCAAAAGTACATTAAGGTAGACCAAGAGCACATATTGGTAAATAGGTTAAAATACCTACAAAATAATTCCATGCCCATAAGAGAAGACTTTTACCAGCAGCATCTGCTGGGCTATGCCTGTAACCTGCAAGCCATGCTCTCCAAGAGAATGGAAAGTACTGGAGTGGGACAGCTGAAACTACCTGCCACTTCATTCTGATTGCTTGTGCCTGCAAGACAAAACCCTGATGCGCCTGAGTTTATCTTCCACCTGCAAGCGATGAGTTAACTATTGTTTAATTCCTTACCTATGCAGACAGAGGTAGTGAGTTAGCATACCTGCTGGTTTAAAAAAAAGCCCAAGGCAGAAGTTAATGGTGGAGACAATGCATGGAGTAAGTTTCTGCCTCTATCCCATTCTAAGTTGTCCAGGCATTAAGGCAGGGGCAGGCAAAATATGGCCCGTGTACCACATCTTGCCTACCAGGCAATTTCATCTGGCCCACAGGCACTCACCAGTTAATTGTACCCTGCTTGTTCCCACCTTCATGCGCAGAAGGGTCCGGCCCAGCCAGCACACAGCTTCCGGGAAGGGCTGTTGCTGCCACTGCTGCAGCTGCTGGGGGACCTGCTTGATCTGGGCAGCAGGTAGGGAAGCAGTGGGGTGAGCTGTGGTGGGGGGGAGCTGCAGCTGGGCAGGGGAGTATGGAGCACGTGCCCAGGGGGGCAGTGGGGGTGTGGAGCTTGGGTGGGCAGGGTGTGGATGTGAGGGAGGGTGGGGAGGCCCCCCCCCCCCCCCCCCCCCCCCCATGCTTCATAGCCCCTGCTGGCGGTGGCAGCAGCAACAGCAGGCAGGGGCCCTCGAGGCACTTGTGGCCTGCCCAGGCACTGCTGCCCAGCACTGCACAGCTCCAGCCAGAGCTGCAAGCAGTGGCAAGGACTGCAGCCAGGCTGGCCTGCCTCTATTGTGTGGGGCTCCCTGCGGTGCACGGGTAGCTGCCCGCGCGCGCGCAAACTCCGCACAATGGAGCTGGCAGCCTTCCACGTGCAGCTGCCGGGATTCTGCTGGAAGTGGCCGGGAGTCCTGCCTCCTGCTTCTGTGGTGGCAGGGAGCAGAGAAGGCCACTGGCTCCATTGTGCAGGGCTTTCCCGAGTGGTGCGCAAGTGCTGGGAGCTGCACGTGCGCTGCGGGAAGCCACGTGCAGTAGAGGCGGGCTGGCCTGGCTGTGCTCTTTGCCATCGTGTGAAGCTCTGGCCGGAGCTGTGTGCTGCCAGGCAGCAGTGCCTGGGTGGGCCATGAGAGCCCCAAAGGCCCGCCACCTCCTGCTGCTGCCACTGTTGGCAGGGGCTGTATGCCGTGGGGGTTCCCGACAGCTCCCCCCCCACGTGCCACAAACTCCACACACCCACACCCTTCCCTCACAACCCCCCCACATATACATACACCCTGCAACATACCCTATAACCCTCCAAGACGTACAAAGCCCACACACCACCATACACCCCCCCAACCACACCCCACACAATATACAAGAGTAAGACTTTATTTTTGAGCTATTTTGCAGTCATCTCTATATGTATTACATAAACATAGATCATGACAAAAATATTTTTTGTAATAAAATTAAAGTATGTTATAGTAGGTGTTTGACTTCTAGTATATGATTTGGTTTCTGATTCAGATGGCAACCCCCCTTCCAAAATGAGTACTTGCAGGGGCAAGGGGTAGGACTTCTGGTGGCAAAGATAAGGGGTTAGGGGCAGGACTTCTGGTCCCAAGATGGTGACCAGGTGGTGTAGCACCTATGAAGGAGTGGTGTTGTCAAGGGGTGGTGCTACCCCTGTGGCCCTCGACAGCTCACCAAAACTCATTAAGCGACTCTCCAGCTGAAATAATTGCCCACCCTGCATTAAGGCAAAGCTGACATCAGTGGTTGGTTTTCAAATTAAGGACCACGTTACTCCTGGTGCCACCCAACTGGCTGACTGTGAATGAGTTTTGGAATACCTGGTGCAGACCACCTTGGCATGATGAAACTGCTGCCCAGCTTCCCTTCATCAAGCAGTGTGATGTTGAGCGTGTCAGTGCACTTTGCAGATGCCATGCTCAAGAGACGCCACGCTTCTGTTTATTTTGCCATTTCACACAGTCTTCAGAGGCTCACAGCAGACCATCCTGCAGTCTCCTGGCTGTGATCTCTCCCCTTTAACCTAACGGGACGTGGATAGATGCTCCAGAGAAGAATTCACAACATACACCTACAGATCTGGAGGCTCCACAACAGCTACCATTCAGAATGACGTGCATCTCCTTGGAGAGGGACTCAGAAGCTTAGAAACGGGCTCTTCAAATGATCTCTAAGCAAAGATCATCCCTGCCCAAACAGTTTCTGCATCTGGCCCTCGTACTGACTCCCCAAAAGCTTGTTGTTGAAAAGGAGCAAGGCATCAGTAGGGACAAGCTTCCCAAAATACTAACACGCATATATATATTACATACACTAGCAATTAAAATAATAGTGTGTGTAATATAGATAAATATATATTGGTATATATTATACCTAGAAATTACTAGGAAAAACACAGTCTGCATGCCCCCTTTTAACTGTCATTATTTCTGCTATTTGGCTTCAAGTCTAGATATGATCCAGAAAAGCACTCACTGCTCTGGTGAATGAATTCTGCCTGTGAACTGGGGAAATGCATCCACAGAACTTTTGCTGGATCTGTCCAAGATACCTAATCCTATTGGTCATCGAACACTGCAAACCCATCCCAGTGTGGATCACTGGACAGATCTTAAGATGTCATGAAGCTGAGAGAATTGTGATGGGAAACACATTACTTGATTTCTCTTCCATCAGTACGAGCTTCCCATTGGACACAATGTCCTATTCAGAGTCTCTGTCTTGATATATAAAGCTCTTTATCAGGGTGACTCTTTCTGAGAGAGCACCTCCGCTATGACCTACAGCTGTGGAGGACAAACTTTTTGGCAAGTGTGCCACAACCTAGCCCTACACCCTCCAAGTGCCGCTCCGATCTTCTTTCCCTGCCTGATCTGCTGCTCTGCTTTCTGCTTCCTGCCCTATTTGTTGCTGTCCTGTCTGCCCCCTTCCCAATCTGCTCCATGCCACACAAAAGGTTCCTTGTGCAACAAGGGGCACGCATGTCACAGGTAGGCAACTCCTGTCATAGATGTTAGGGTCGGAAGGGACCTCAATAGATCATCGAGTCCGACCCCCTGCTTAGGCAGGAAAGTGCTGGGTTCAGATGACCCCCGCTAGATGCTTATCTAACCTCCTCTTGAAGACCCCCAGGGTAGGGGAGAGCACCACCT